TAAACACACATTAATATAGATTACACAATTAAAATTAAGGAGGGAAGACTGAAAGGAAGAAAAGAACATAAGGCTCCTATGGACACTGATTTGGGTTAAGATAGTACTATTAATGAAGATAAATATGTGTCTTTGTGTATATTTTAGGAGCTGGGATAGATCTTTAAATGATAGATTTGTTTTTGGATAACTTGGATTTGTTAATAAATAAAGATAAAAAAAATTAGGAAGTGAAAAGCCAAACATTGTTAGCGTGAGAGAATTTCAAGTAAACATCTCCTGCAGAGATGTCAACTCTTTACTTTCAAAGTGGGTGTAAAATATCTAAATGGCTAAGGACCTAGCAGTTCATTTGCCTCTTAAAAAGCTAAGCTCCTGAAAAAAACAGTGGGAAATGCTAGAAGACTTTGTCACATACTTGGGAGAAAAGGCCTTTGCCTTGCAATAGGTTAAGAATGTAATAGAGAAAAAGAATGTTCCTCTTATGGTATCTAGAATGCATTTAAAGAAAGAACCTGTACTTATAGAGCAACATCCTGAAAAAGAGGTGCCCAAAACCCTGACATTCACTGAGTATACTGAATTACTGTAACACAGGGGCAATTATTTCAGGTGGAGTGCTGCTTAACAAGTTTTGGTGAGCTGTCAAGGGCCACATGGGTAGCCCCGTCCCTTGGTTGCCATCTTGGGACTGGAAGTTGTGTCCCATCCCCCAAGCCCTTGACCTTTGCTGCTGGAAGTCTCTCTCCTTGCCCCCTCCACCCCCCAGAAATACTCCTTTTGGGAGGGGGGTTTGCCATCTTAGAACCAGAAAAAAACCCAAATCATACACAAAAAGTCAAACACCTACTAGTACATATTTTAATTTTATTTCAAAAAAATATTTTTGTTGTGATATGTATTTGTGTACTGTATATAGAGGGGACTGCATAATAACTCAAAATAAATTCTTAGTCTTGTATATTAGGGGTGTGTGTGGGGATATATGTTGGTGTGTGGGTGTGGATGGTAGGGTGTGGGGGTGTTAGGGGGTTGTGTATATGTGGGGGTGTGGTGGGGCAGGGTGTGGGGGTGTGGGGTTTATGGGGTGAGAGAGAGGGTGTGGGGGTGTGTAGACCCTGCCCCTGTACTCCCCCCATGGTGCAGCAGCCACAGGCGGGGGCGCTCAGGGCTCTCGTGCCCAGTAGGGTGCAGCTCTGGCCAGCACTACACACTGCAGCAAGAAGTGCAGACCCCTGCTGGGCAGTCTGTATTGCTGGCACTCCTCACACTTGCACAGCATGGGAGGGAAGCTGTGTGCACTGGACCCAGCCGCCTTCCCTGCCAGGGCTGCACAGCAGGGGAAGGAAGCCCTGGGTGCCTTTCCTTGGGGGTGGGGAAGGCAGCTGGCTCCAGCACACAGGGCTTCCCTCTCCTGATATGCAGCCTGAGTGGCGAAGGGAAGGATCACAGATACAAGCAAGTGAACTACATTTGAACTGGGCTTCTATATCAAGATGAATTTGGTTTAAAGTCCTACTGTGCATAGCACTAGAGAAAGTTAAAAGAAGGGATTGGCTGCTTTACCTGACACTCCTATTAGTTTCTTTTCCTGTTAGGGCTACCCACTTTGCAACAGCCTAGCACTCATTTTCCAATCCTCCATGCCCTCTGAATACCTATTATATCACATGTAACTGCACCAACTTTACGACCAACTCAGGCCCAGCATGTACTTTATACTATGTGTGACAAGAATTTGGGCCAGACTTCCCAGGAAGCTGTAATACCTTATTGTCGTTCCTTGTAGTCGATCAATCTTCTTATTTAACTCTGCAATAATGCTGTGAAGCTCTGTGATTCGTTCTTCATAGCGCAGTGTCGTTCGTTCTTGTACATCTTCGTGCTCTCTCATGAGATGAGACTGCTCACACTAAAGCACAAAGAAAACATATAAGTTTTATGATAATATAAAATAGCCCTCCTACCTACCAATCCCAACATTAAGTTTCGACAAGGGGAGGAATACAAGAATGCTCAAAAGTTACACAACCTTGGACCACACTGGCAATTTGTCAGTAGCTCAAGGATTTAATTTACATTGGACAAAACAAAGCATGCTGAAGCTGTCTTCATCTTCAGCATGAAGTGTCACCCACAGCTCAGAGCAACCTGGAGTAACACATGTTGGAATCTTGGTGAGAATCATTATCCATCCAGGATGTTCAGAGCTCTCCCAGTGTTGCTAGGGCCATTCAACATACCACAAGCAGAAATTATGTGAGAAGGCTGTGCAATAATTGTGCTGTGATGTTGTGCTGCAGCATCGGATCCTGTAACAATGCAATGATTCCTTTTCTCTTCTTTGCCATTTACTATTTAGTGTCAGTGACTTTTACAAATTTCTGCAACAACTTGCTGTCACGTAGACTGAACAATGATAGACAGTTCATATATCATGTCCAGTGTTTCTCTCTCTCAATTGCTGTCACAAGATCTGTCCTTTGGAACATGTCTTTACCAAAGTAGTTGTGGCAGGATCTGCCTGTGGCAAAATGCCATCTCTGTCTTTCTCCAAACTCTGCTATCAGGCAGATGACCAATTTGACAATTTGGTTACCATGGTCACTGCAGAGGGCAGACACCCCTGGCTCCATCAGCTTCAGGTAACCCTGAGTTGTAAACTGAGCTGGATACATTCCTGAGGGAGAGGGAAACCTGCTCCCTCTGCCTATGTGACTGGCCTCACACATCTGGGTGGGGGCTTCAACTCCCTATTGTTCTAAACCAGAGGTGGGCAAACTGCAGCCCACAGGCGAGATGCAGCCTGCCAGGCCATTCTATCTGGCCCACAGGCCCTTAAAAATTTTAGAAAATTAATATTTATCTGCCCCTGGTTGCCTGTCATGCGGCTCTCAATGGCTTGCTAAAACTCAGTAAGCAGCCCTCTGTCCGAAATAATTGCCTGCCCCTGTAATCTAAGCAACGTCATCAGGACTGGGTTGGGGGCTAGAGACCCTGCCAGTCTACCCAGCAACCAGTGATGCATTTCAAACTGGTTGGCTGGCAGCCAACAGTTGCTGGCCTTCATTGGATCAGGTAAATGAGGTCATAAGGTCTATATAAGTTAAGGACTGCCCAGGAGACGGGGCAGCAGCCATGATGAGAACTTTCAGAGAAGCTGGATAGACAATCTAAAACTTACTCTCTCTCTTGAAACTCATGGTCAATGAATTGCTTACCTCCAGCGGGAATCTCCACCTGCCTCTGGATGATACTTGTGAGTAAGCTACTTGAGATCTAACTAGATATATAGCTTTCAGTAACTCAGATGTGTGATTAAAGGCTACCATGCCAGTGTTTGCTCTAAGGTACTTCTCTGATATTGCTCTACCTTGTACCTTATTCCAAACCTACTCCTTGTAATCAATAAAGTTCTCCTCTGTACCTAACATGGCAGACTTTTTAGAGAGGGTCTAGATTATGCCTTGTGGTCTCATTCAGTTAAGGGAGACCACTATTTGTGCTTCAGACTTAGGGAAGCACCCCAAGTTCTTGCAGTGGGTCGAGTACCCCTCAAGGACTACTACGCCTGTGTTTCCCAGGGGGCCCAGGACCAAGATTAGTCTAGACTGGGTGGTAGCAGCATTACCCCCAGGCTTGTGGGTGTGCTCCAGGAAGGGGGTTGGCTGGGCATGAGGCTCTCCCAGGGACCCACTCAGAGCCTGGAAGGTGGTCGGGCGCAGTGAGGCGGGTGGCTGAACACAGGAGCACCCCCTACTGGCCTACCACAGTGCCCATACCAGCAAAGAATGGTATGTCAGCACAGAACAATGGTGTGCGTATAGAGATACTTATGCTAACTCAACTACTAAAAGCAGCAGAGTTTCCCCTACCTAATTAGCCCTGCTGAGAAGCACAGTACATTAGGTCAAGCAAAGTACCACACAAATGTGGCTATAGTGCACCTGATACCCTAAGTTGGTATGAAACAGTTGTTCAGGACAAGCTCAGGTTGAACTATATAGCACTACAATATGCTGTACAAGCATACCCAATGACATAATGCAATAACAAACAAATAGAATTTGATACAATGTTTTGACACTGTGCCATGAAGTTGCAGCAGTCAATTAATTCTAGAAGATGGTCATAAAAAGAAGCAATGCTAATTCCAGACAAGAGCAGTTTATTGCAACAGGCTGCAAAACACCTTAGTCAACTAAACATTTGAGATGTGTCAGCGTCTTCTACCAGGTGATCCAGGAAGAAGAATAGTGCAAGACACTGGAGATGTGGCCACTGCCTCCTTCCCTATTATTCTGGCTTGAGTAGTTGGTTGGAGTAAGTATCTAGAATAATAGACAAATTCTAGAAAATCTGTAAGCAAGCATATCTTCTCTTCAGGAAGGAAGGGTCTCTGAAAGCGCTACATTTTACACTCTTTACTCATTTGAGTGATGAAACCACCATGCTATTATAGTTTTTTTGTATGCCTCACAGAACCCTGCTGTCTCCAAGAGAGTTTTAATTCAGTTTCTGCCGCTGTTTCCAGATGCCAGCACCTGCATGCACTGCAATTACAAAGCCAGCTATGATACATGTTCCTTAGGCCTGTGCTCAGCAGCAGTCTGTGAGGACCAAGACTTCTAACATCCTGTTTCTCCTCCCTGGCAGGAATCAGCCAATTCTCCTACACTTACATAATAGTGTCCACTGTGTTCCAGTTAAAGAAATCTCAGTGATTTAAGCATGGCTACTGCAAAAATTACATCTGCTGATCAAACATAATCAATGCCTACATAATGGAACAGAAATAAACAGTACATGCAACTCTTGCACTTTTTTTTTTTACACCAAAAGTGATTTGCCCAAAATTGTCACTCTATACAGTACAAGTACAGTAATGTTATATAAAACACACATATGTATACCTCCTATATTAAAAGGTCTGACAGTATTTTCATAACATCCTCTTATTCTCTTCGGTCCAAAACCTATGGCTTGAGGTAATCACCTATAAATGAAATTTGTTCCAAAATGGAACTTGATGCTGAGCTTGAGAACACTTCAGTGTTTTTACACACTAACAACACAAAGGTGTACTAGTTTCAGACCCTATTCTTCTCCAGTAAAAACTGTCCTAATTTTAACTTTTGCTACCTTTCCCCAGGTCCTGTAGAGTTTCCACATGCTTTTTTATTCTAAGCCCCTACCATGAAACATACAATGGTTTCCCCCCAACCCTCCTAACAAAGTACTGAATATTCAAATTTGATCGATGGATATTAATAAAAACATGTATTATGGATACATTGTTATTTATTTATTTTTTGGAAAATAAGAGAAAGAATGAACCAAGATACATACCACACGCTGTAATGATGGGGCAAATAGTATTTAGTTTAAAACGTAAATACATATTTATCACAGAAAAATAGAACTCAGGAATGTAAATGAGTTCAAAATTTGCCAAGGGCAGAACTGTTCTTAACAGCAGTCTCTGTCCAAATGAAGGCTGTTCTACTTTCTTTGCACAAAATAGATCTTTAACACAAGCACAGACAACATCCCATTCTACAATGGGATTAATTTTGTTCTTAGACTAGGGGCTCAGACTTGTACCAAGTGTAATGCCACATGGATCACAAGGGGAGTGTGCTTATCAGATGGTCTTCTGAAAAAAAGATGAAGAGCTAAGGGCTACTTCCTGGAACTCCAATTAGCTATATTTGGCCTTCAGGTCACACTGGCTATTACATAAAGAAGGCAACAACCTATCTGCTGACATGAAATAATGTAGTTTCTCCCCATCTTACCCCCTTCATACTTGACCAAAGAGCTTCCTCTTCTTTCAAAGTGTAAAAGTATTGGGTAGAAAGTGTCAGAAAAAAACCAACAGCTTCACAAAAATGTTAGACACGGGTTAAGTGCAGGAAAAATGGAAAGAAAAAGCTGCTTACTGTACCTTTCTAAACCAAATTTCCTGTGATATACTTTGATGATCACAAACAGTCTCAGCATTATCCAGTTCAGTGAATTATCTGCACAGTGTGTGTGTTTAAAAAAACAACAAACTGAAAGGACATTTCTGATAGTGTGTTTAATAATTATTTTTCTAACAATAAATAAAAAGCCTACAACAACAGATTTAATTTATCTGTGCCCTGAAAAACTGAATAATCCTTATCTTGACTGAAGATATACTGACTCCCACTAATGGACTCTAGCCATTCTCAGACATTATCAGACTTGCTTTCCTTCTCTCATCATTGCACCATTTTTCACAATAATCTTTATAGTGACAAACATATAATGTGAACAACAAAGAGCAACAAATGTTTTAAAGATATCAGTGAAACGTGTGCACTGGAACTATTTCAAGTTTTGTTTAAAAGGGTCACTGGGGCAACAAAATGTGGAAATAGAAAAGGCAGAAGCAGGAACCACTAGGAGAAGCTGCCCTAGGAGAGGCTGCAAGCTGGTTTGGTGGGAAATAAGCCCAAGGATACTTGGCTGGTGTGTCCTGAAAGGTGAAGTGATTCTTCTTTAAAAAGCATTCAAAAGTGGGGAACACAGTTTTGCATCACAGAATCTAGAGAAGGAAGGGCATATCAAGTCTATCTACCAGCCAGGATTTAATAGATTTCATAAGATTTCATAGACATTAGGGCCGGAAGGGACCTCACAAGATCATCGGGTCCCAAGGGGCAGGACATCAGCTGGGGTCAGATCACCCCAGCAAGATAAGCATCCAGGCGTTTCATAAAGGTATCCATGGTAGATGCTTGCACCACTTTTTGGGGAAGTCTATTCCAGACTCCAGAGACTCAGACAGTAAAGAAGTTTTTCCTTATGTCTAAAATGGTCTTCCAGCAGTTTGTGACTGTTAAACCCTGTTTTCCCTTGGGGTGCCCTGGTGAACAGATGTCC